TGGGGAGTAGATAAAAAGATGTGCATACAATGAAATAAAAGTAGTAGAATAAAATTATTAATACAACAACATAGCTTAATCCCAAATGCAGAGAGAAGAAATTTTGGATCAAAAGGGAACATAATATGTAACTATGAAAACCAAAGTCATGATGACATAATCTTATAACTTCTCAGATATTTATAACTTCTCAGATATGTATCAAAAATGATATCCATTTTAGGGTAAACATTTGTAGAAAGGAATTCTAAACTTGCTGATACAAATACAAACTATTAAAGTCAATGTTTATAATAATCTGAAATTTTTCAACACACTGGAAATTAAATAATGGTTATGGGTTTTAGATAAACGTGTGAAATTTCTTCTCCTTGAGTAACATGCAAAGAAAATTCCTGTGTCAATACTTTTAATATGGTTACTAGATAAAGTTGATATATATGATACAAGATGTGAAAATGAAATACATGCTATTACATACAAATCAAATATGTAGAGTACATAGTATATACAAAATGAGCTTATGCCATATTATTAAGGGTTTAAAAAGAGGATATAATGCAATAGGTGAATGTGGAGACAATTGTGTTGAATGGAAAGACAGACAAGAAAAAAAATGTAAGGTGTTCTCTCCCTTATAGGCAAAAATTTTAAAAGTTGAATAAACAGGAAAATAGTAGAACTGTAGTCATTAATAGTAGATCAGAAAGAAAATAGAAGATCATAAGTTCATAATTACATGTGGCTAATAATTCTAGAAAATTAATGTCCTCAATTAAAACTGCAGTTAGTAGATTAATATTTAATGATGATGAGTTTAAGAGATTTTAGATGTTTTTATTGCACACACAGTGTCTGTATAAAGTACTGATATACAATTTTCAAATATGTATATCAAAACATAGTAGTGTTCTCCTTAAGCATATATAATAAGTGGATTTAAAAATAAAAGCAAAATTACATAAACTAAGAGAAGATTGTTTGCCAGAGCCTTAGCTATGGTATGGGTTGATCATATAGTACCAAAAGTCTGGAAGAGAATCAATTACTCCAATAGTATTTTCGAATGTCATTACAATTGTATAAATGTACATGCACAGCTGCAAACCTACAGACAAGTTGAAATTTTTGCTTCCCAAATATTATTATATTTCTTTGTGTACATGTACCCATGAATGTGTGTATGTTTGCCTGTATCCATGCAACAACATACGTGTAGAGATTAGAATAAAATATGATGGAGTCAGTCTTCTCCCTCTTACCTTGTGAGGCCTGTTAAGTCTAATGAAATAACTCAGGTTATCAGGTTTTGCAAGTGATGTTCCCTGCTGAGACATCTCACTGACCCATATTATTGAGTTTATAACATGTATGTTGTCATAACACATACAGAAATGATAACTTATTTGCTATATCTGTAAATATATATATATATAATATAAACTATTTTCATGTCTTATTGGGCTCTTTGTTGTATTTATCTGTATTAATGTTATTTTTTTTATATATGTTAGAAAGTGCCCCCTAATTACTTAGAGAAGCAACCATAGTATGTTTTTCCATTAAAGTTGATTTTCTGAACTCAACTAAGGGAAGTTCTGAGCATGATGTGACACCACAATGTTCTCTGAGCCAAAGGAGGTAAAAGTTTTCATGGACTCTTCAGTCAAAAGGAGAATGGCAGTGTGCCAATGGTGATGTGGGTGTCACTTCTAAATGAACATAACAAATAACTACTGCGTGTACAGATATCACATCTCTCTATATATATAATTTTATGATATGAAAGATATGTCTAAAAGAAGATCATCACATCCTTCTATAGATACGATGATAACACATTTTTTTTTATTTAACAGCTTTTTTAAACATCACAACATTGCTCAGGTACAACTGATACTTGATAACTACACATTTAATGAATACAATGGTACGTCTTCACAGCTACAATTCCATTTAAAATTACACTTCCTTTGCTGGGTTTCCATTTTCTATTTTCTTTTGTTTTGTTTTTCATTGTTGAGAGAGAGGGATTATATTTCATGCTGCACATATGTGAAAAACAGAGGACAACACTGGGTAACAGTTCTTAACTTCCAACTTACTTGAGACAGGTTCTGCCTGTGTATCGTCAGATAGCTGACCTAGCTTCTCAAGATTTCTGTGTTTCCAATGTTCGTTTCACCATAGGAATGTTGACAATATGTGTCTTTTCTGGCATTTGAATTCAACTTTTTCTGTTGAAGGAGAAAGCACTTTGGTTACTGATTCATCTACCTAATCCTACCTAAATCTACTCTATTCTGGTCTTAATTAGACACAATCATTATATGGTTAAACAGATCCACATACGTTAATTCAGGTAAAATAATTATGTGCTTACTGTTTGCCTCCTTTTCTACCTTCTCTAGTCTTTAGGAACCACTATTGTACGCTCTGCTTCTGAGATTCATTGTTTTAAATTTCTCACAAACTTGAGAAAACTATACAACACTTATTCTTCTACGACAAAATGTCTTTAGAATTCATCTACATTGCCATAAATAATAGTGTTGTGCTCTTTATTAAAACACATTGGAACACTGAACTGAGCTCCCAAGGTCCTTATGAAGAGCAGAAGGAGAGAGAACATGAGCAAGGAAGTCAAGACTGCGAGGGTTGCACCAACCCACTGTGATGGTGGGGCTGAACTAATGGGAACTCACCAAGGCCAGCTGGACTGGGACTGATGGAGCATGTGATCAAACCAGACTCTCTGAATGTGACTGACAAAGAGGGCTGACTGCAAAGCCAAAGACAATGGCATGGGCTTTGATTCTACTACATGTACTGGCTTTGTGAGAACCTAGTCTGTTTGGATGCTCACCTTTATAGAACTGGTTGGAGGGGGGAGGACCTTGGACTTCCCACAGGGCAGGGAACTCTGACTGCTCTTTGGACTGGAGGGGGGGGAGGGGGAATGAAGGGAGGAGAAAGAAAATGGGAGGAGGGGAGGGGGTGAAAATTTTTAGTAATAATAATAATAATTATGAAATGAGAAAACAAAACAAAAAATAAAACAATATAAATGATAATATATGCCTTTGTGTTCATTCACTTGTCCACATGCACATGCATGTGCTTTTATGCATATATCTTATATATATATATGTGTATATATATGCATATATATGTATGATACAGAACTATGTTTCTCTGTTGGTTCATCTTTCCCTAGAAACTTCAGTAGATAATGTATGATATATATAAAATACATCAAAGAACACAGAAATACAGCATTCTTTGATATGTGAATTTCACTTAATACATATCTCAAATGATTGGATAGTATACTTAGATTAGTTTTTTGTTAACTCTTTCTAAAATATTTCATCAGTTATCACTGTATACAGTCAACAGCAATATACAAGAGTTTTGTTTTTGATCCATAAGAAAACATATATTTTACTTCATTTAAATTTTGTAGCTTGCATTTTTACAATTTTAACTGGAACATACTGTTAAAATTGGGGAATTAGTGCAAGTCATTTCTCATCCTTGATCCCTAAGGACGTGGACCAATTTAAAATACAGAACAGGAATGTTTCCAATGCTAACATGATTTTGTCAGTGTATATAAAAGCCACACTGAGGTGAAATTCTTGCCAACATTGGTGACAGCAGAAATCACATTGTTTCTATGTGGCACAGTGTCAGATTCAATCAACATTTAGATGGAGCATAATCAACGTGGGAAGACCTGGTTGTTGAGATGATTGCTGTAGTGTAAGTATATCTCAAAGTGATTGTTTACTGTCATTTTTTCACACATACTTATTTTAAAAGGTTTTCCTGTATAGCAGCACTTTTGTATCACTAATTATTTTCAGAGAATCATCCATTTTATTTTAATTGTTCAATCTTCCAAAAAAAATCACATAAGTTTACCTTTCAAATAATATTTGAGACTTCTGGAAATTTTAAGTAGTTTTATATATTCACTTAAACTAAACTTTTATGTTGCGTGGCAAGTTACAAGACTCTGTTGAAAAAGCATTCTATTGACAGGACATTTACATTACTCTAAAATTCTCTTATTATCTTAGAAGTTTTGATATCTATTTTTATAGTCAATAAAGTAAAGAAGCAGGTTTAAAAAACAATGGTAAGGAGATGATAATGTTGATGGTTTGAATAGGTCACTGCCAACTCACAAATTAATATAAGTTATGTAAAAATGTCATTTTATACAAGAAAAAAAGAAAGGAAGGAGACAAAAACGTAGAGAAGCAAGAAAATTAGCTTTCATTTATTAATTATTCAGAATACCATATGACATCTCACCACAAAGAATTGAAAAAAAGTCAAAATAGGACAATAAGTAACATCCCCCAAGCCTCTGAATGTATTATTACTCGCAGATAAACTCTGATGGGTAAGTCAAAAATCAAGGAAAGACTTAATGTTAACAATGTATCTTTAGTAACTGGCTACATAATATATTTGATGAAAAAAATTTCTCACTAGTAAATAGTTTTGATTATGTGTGCTCATATAAAATCAACAGTATATTTTTGCCTGGATATTTTGTGTTGATATTTGGAATAAACCGATAGATTGTCATTTTGTAATTATGATAGCCAAGTAAGTGGATTGTAGCTATGTCTCTAATATTCATTAAAATCATTTCTGATTCCATTCATACAGAGCAGATTAAAGCTTGAAAGGATACAAAGAGAATATGTGCAACTGATAGTTTTGAACAATATATTCATATTGATGTTTATAAATATTGTCTTTTAGATGTACAAAGCTTTTGAGCCATCATTCTACATTTAGAAAACTTCCCTGATTATACACAATCTACAAAAACAAGAAACATTTATTAAAATTTGACTGGACATAATGTGAAGATATAATCTGTATTTCTCTTACATTACTCATAATAAAAGATTTGTTTCTGTTTCAGGAATTCTTAGTAAGGCTCTGTCTCTCACATCCATTGGAGCACAGTGTTCTTAATGGGAGAAGCAAACCAGACTCTGGTGTCTGAGTTTATTTTTCAGGGACTTTGTACTTCAAGGGAACTACAGATCTTCCTCCTGCTGCCATTTTCCATCCTCTACCTGATGACTCTGGTAGGCAACCTCTTTGTGGTGATATTAATCGTCACTAATTATCATCTCCATTCTCCCATGTACTTTCTGCTAGCCAATCTTTCATTTATTGACTTCTGCCTTTCCTCAGTAAATACACCCAAACTGATAACAGACCTCCTACAAGAAAATAAAACAATTTCTTTCTGGGGTTGCATGAGCCAGATCCTCTGTGTGCATTTCTTTGTAGGGGGTGAGATGGTTCTTCTTGTAACAATGGCCTATGACCGCTATGTGGCCATCTGCAGGCCACTCCACTACACCAGCATCATGGACAGACAGAAGTGCATCTGCCTTGTTTTGATATCATGGTTCATTGGATTTGTGCACGCCATTAGTCAGCTGCTCTTGATTTTGGAGCTTCCTTTCTGTGGGCCAAGAGTGATAGACAGCTTTTTCTGTGATATTCCTTTGGTGATGAAATTAGCCTGCATGAATACTGATACTCTGGAAATCTTGATAAATGCTGACAGTGGTGTTTTAGCGACAACTTGTTTCATTCTCTTGTTGATATCTTACACTTACATTCTATTGACAGGCTTCACTCTAAAGATGGTTCATCAAAGGCCCTCTCTACCTGCACCTCCCATATCATAGTGGTTGTGCTCTTCTTTGGACCCTGCATTTTCATCTATCTGTGGCCAGTCAGCATCACGTGGGTGGATAAGTTTCTTGCTGTGTTTTATACAATCATCACACCTCTCCTAAATCCAGCAATCTATACATTGAGAAATAATGATATTAGAAATGCCATAATTAAGCTGAAAAATTACAGGTAAATTTGGGGATAATTGCTAGACACCTCTTTTCAGAAGAAAATTAGTTGTGTACATAATATCTTAGCGGTATTTTGACCACAAAGCTGCATATATTACTCAATTTTGCATGGCATTAGCTTTAAGGCTATATGACTATGAAAATAACTACTATGAAATTGCATTCAGAAGTTTAACACTTAGATAGACTTTTACCACTTAGAAAGAGTAATATCCACATTGTATTTGTGTCTGAATATTAGATGATGATAATGACATTATACAAATAATGATCAAGAAATTATAATCATTGCAATCTTCTAATAATTTCAAATTGTTACAACAATGTGCATATCATTTTGACTAAATTATTATTTACAAAGTTCTCATTAAATTATTCTTAAATTATTCTCCAAAATTGCAATTCTAGCTTTAACATCACTACAGGAGATACTGAAGTCATTGTCAAGGTCTGCATAGTCTTAGAAATGAAAGTGATTTACTAATCTAATCATGCTAGTTGCTTTGTATTGACATAATCTCTGCCATTTCTCTAATTGTACCTAATCATAAGAAATCATTTATCCCTTTTTTGTTCTATAACTAAAATGGCAGTTTTTATAATATTAGAATATACATTCCTCAATCCAGAAATTCCTTTTATGAACTTGATTTTTCTTTACATTATGAAAGTAGTTCAGTGTGGTAAAATTATATGCTTTTGAATATAATATATTATGTGTATATGCATGTACATATATTTACATATATATGTGTAGATTAATCATGCTAGTTGCCATTTGATAATGTCTGGCATTTGCTTATAAAACTATATGCATACACATTTATAACAATTTGACAACTAGTGCAATTCTAAAAATAGGTGTAAGTGATAATTCTCTAAATATCCCTCCTAATAGTTGCAATCAATCTTTATGTGTATTCTAATAAGTTAAATATTTTCTCATAACATAAACTAATAAAAACATGAAAATACCTGCATCATGCTTTACTGAAATCATATTAGAGATAAGCAAGGCACATAGGTGTTCACACATCTTGGCATATGGAGAATATACTTGCAAATTTTGATATCTTTTTCCTAAAATATTATCTCAGCTGTTTTAATAGATTTAACAATGTAACATTTTAGTTACCATTTTTCCCTAGTGAAATTTGTCCTTTATTAATATCTGCAATAAAGTGACTACATCTGACTAATGTTCCTGAACTCTTACTTCTCTCCCACTCCTATTATCCACTTCTCCAGTCACATGCACACCACTCCTTTTCTCCACTTACGTTTTGGCTTTTTGCTTTTTACCTTGTGGACTACCTACTCCCAACACATTGACCTTCACTTCTCAGAAAGTGTAAGTCCTCCCATGTCAACAAAAATTGGAACATTCAGTTGAGTCAGGAACAAAATCCTCCACCCTGCGTCAAGACTGGGAAAAACATACACAATAAGGAATGGGTTCTAGAAGGCCAGATCTTTCATCAGGGATAGATCCTGGTCTCACTGCCATGGGCCCCACAAACAGACCAAGCTACACAACTGTCTCCGACAACAGAAACATGGACCAATGAAATCGAATAGAAGACCCTGACGTAATCCGTACACAAATGAGCACCTGATTTTTGACAAAGAAGCCAAAACTGTACAATGGAAATAAACCAATTATTCTGAAAGAGGAAACCAAAATGGCTGAGAAATGTTTAAAGAAATGTTCAGCATTTTTAGCACTCAGGGAAATGCAAATCAAAAAAACTTTGAAATTACATCTTACACCTGTCAGAAAGTCTATAATCAAACTCATAAGTGGCAGCTCATACTTGTGAGGATGTAGAACAAGGGGAAGACTCCTCCACTCCCGTTGGATGTGTAAATTTGTATAGCAGCTTTGTAAATCAATATGGTGGTTTCTTAGAAAATTGGGAATAGACCTATCTCAAGCTGATTTTAGAGAGGAATACAAATAAAAGACTGTCTTGTGTTTAGAAGAGACTACAATTTTAAACTGTGTTGAAACTGTAAAAGATAACAGGGACTTTTGAGGTTGAACCCAATGCATTTGAATTATGATATAGCTACAATCTATGGGTCAGGGAATGAAATATGATTGTTCATTAAGAATGACATACATAAACTCATGTATTTAAATGACTGTTTTGCAGTTGGTTGAATGGTTTGAAATGTGTTAGGTATGACTTTGTAATAGAATGTGTGTTCACTGGTGGTCGGCTTTGAACTTTCAAAAGCCATCACCATTCCCAGTTAACACACAGATTTCCCTACCCTTTCTCTCTCCCACTTCCTTCTTCTGCCTCATGTATTTTAAGAAAATATGACCTCTTAGTTACTGTTCCAGTGTAATGTCTGACTGTCTGCCTGCCTGCATGGTACTGTGCTCCCTGACATGATAGTCATGGACTATATCTCTCTTGAACAATGAGCTCAAAATTAAATGCTTTTTTTTATAAGTTGCTTATGTTATGGTTTGTTGTCATAGCAATAGAAAGTTAATCAAAGAAATGAGACTGAAATTTAAAGGTATTTTTAATCTATTTTAATCTATGCATATCAAATATTAGTTACATAGGCATATTTTAAATATTCCAGATTGAGGATTAGAAAACCTATATCTAAATCAAATGAAAACAAATCCAATCTTTTATGGGTTGTAAATTTTATCTTGCATTAAGAAGCTTCCTTTCCTAATTCAAGAAGGCAGTTATATGTAATGTTAATAATAGAGTAATAAACTCTGACAATTTTCAAAAAAAGAAATACCAAGTAAATCCAGACTGGAGTCTGTTCACTTTGTGATGTAATGATACTTAGATAGTCCATGTCAAAGTATGAACTATGTTAATTGTGTGATCTGTATCTCTCCTAAACTGCCATAAGCCCACCGCTCACTTCCTTCCTTTTCTCCCATCTTGTGATCAGTCTTATTGCTAGTATCAATGAAAAGTCTCCAACAGAACTCCTGGAGTATGGACCACACTGAGCACTTTAAAGCACTTGTTTTCATCTTTTACTCTTTGAAACAAAATTTAATGACGTTGGAAGTGTTAGAATATAAAGGAGGTTGTGAATAAAAAAAACTGCTTATTGGTACTTGTTGGAGGAATATGAACAACTAAATATTTTGACAGAAAATTGCATCAATCTCACAACAAAACTGTAAGAATACAGAGTTTCTTATTTCTTAAAAATATAGGTAATTTAAATTTCATTTAATTTCTACTACTTATGTTGAGAAGATGAACCAAATGAACCAGTGGATAAAGGAATTTTTGACACTTTAAGTTTCATAGTAGATACAAAATTTGAAATGTTTTGGACAATATTATGATTTAGGTTCCTTTGTAGTCAAGTAAAATTATCATTGTTTAAACATTGCAAGGTTGTAACACATTCTAAACTAGGCATATATCCGATTTTTGATTAACAACTATATGAACTATTCCAAATTTCATGTACATTTTCTTTTATTCTATCACATACCCCATACTTTTCAGAAATATTGATATTAATACATGGAGTAGAGCCCTGGGAAACAAAAATTTCAAAACTCTGAGATATCTTTATTACTATGGCTTAATATTTCACTTTTTGGGCATCAAATACATTGTAAAATATAGATTTTAAGAGAATGTATACATCATATATGTTTTTGATGCAATTTTCCCTATCTAACTGATTATAGATTTTCCATATTTATTTACATTATCATGCTATATATAATATTCCTCCTTTGTCTTAATTGGGGAGGCAAATAATGTAATTTGGCAGTTAATAACTGAAATTTTGGTACATTATTGCAAGCACCATCCCATGATTTTGAATCATGTCTATTTGACAAAACACTATAAATACATAGGCCCAAAAGTCCATCATTTGCTTTTTGTATTTAACATTTCACTTGTAATCAGAAGTTGAAAATTTAAAAATTCTATTCAAGGCTACTTGATTAAATAATTTTTCAATAATTCCTTAATTATATAATAATTAATAATTATTAATCTGAAAGTCAACTAAAAATTTAAGTGATTCATGTTATTTAATTTACTTTGATCAATGTTAGGTAATATACATTAAAATATGCAACTTTATCAAAACTACATTATTGTTTAAATTTCCTAAAGATTATAGATACACACAATAATTAGTTAGCAAATTGCCAGCCTTTACTTTTAGATAGACATATTTATAAATATCAAATGAAATAAATAATAAACAAAAGAAAAGGAGACGACAATGTCATTCATACATGTCACTTAAGAAAACATGAAAAGGAGAAAAAATTGCCAATTGAGATATAAATGTAACTATTTAACATCTCTTTGAGTATAAATATATGGAATGCTTATGTTTCATTTACAAAAATAATGCTTCCTTAGATATAAAATTAAGGCTGTTTCACTGAAAATAGCATGTATCTTCTCCAAATTTAAGAAAATAAAATTTCTGTGATAATAAAAGTGAGGCATCCAATAATTGATAACAAAAAAACAAAAGTAGAAAAGTGTAGGACAGAGGCAATGATAAAGAACATCAAACTCATTTGCCAGCACCATTTGTCAATGGTGCTTTCTTTTTATAGTTGTATAATTTCAGTTTCCTTATCAAAAATTAGGTATTCATAGATGTGTGGGTTAGTATCTGGGTCTTTGGTTCAATTCCCATTGGTAAAAATCTCTGTTTTTATGCCAGTACCAAGCTGTTTTCATTGCTGTAGCTGTGTAATAAAGCTTGATATCAGGAATGGTTATGACTCCAGAAGTTCCTTTATTGTACAGAATTATTTTGGCTATTCTGTTTTTTTTCCATAAAAGTTAAATATTGTTCTTTTAAAGTCTGTGAAGAATTGTGTTGGGATTTTGATAAGGATTGCCTTGAAACTATAAATTTCCTTTGGTGAGATTCCCTTTTTATTATGTTGATTCTACCTATTCAAAAACATAGTAAATCTTTCCATTTCCTGGTATCTTCTTCAATTTTTTTCAAAGACTTT